TATATTAAAATGATATTTTGGCAAGATCAAAATTGTTTGTTGCAGAAATCTCATTCAAAAAAACTGGGTAGATAAAATGTCAGCATTTGATAGAGAACATTTGATGGAGATCCCACCATCGAGGCAGGTTCATCAACTTGCATTGTGACAATTTTCAGCTATGAAGAAACAGCTACTAGTAAAAGAATGTTAATCAGTAATGTTACACCCCACCACATATATGTATCTGTGTTGTGATTTACTTCAGTTTTTCTAATAGATATAATAAATATGCTTACAAAGCCAAAGTCTGAGGTGATACTGTAAGATTCTCTGCATCACATGGAGTTGGCCATCGGACAATAAGGGTGTACAATTCTTTTAAAACAAATGGGGGGAGGTGAAATTAATAGGCCCTCTGTTAAATTATTTCATTTACAGAGTTGAATGAGAAGAATTATGAGTGAAAATCTACTTGTTGCTCTCTTTTTGTGTATCCATTGAAATTAGTGGGAGATAATGACAACAGATAATGTTCTGATGCATGTACCCTTGGTGTTTCAGGCATTCTAATTCTCTCTCAGTTTTACAGGATCAGAATGAACTATGCACAATATGTATGCTATTGATGAAGACATAAAAACAAACTATATGACATTAATTTAAGTTCTTGACAAAGATATTACTGTTCATATATGAATAAATCTGAAAGCTTTTTTGTGGGTTTATTTAAAGGCTCTGAGAAGCAGGAAATGGAGAACTTCTATTCTGTATGCAAAAACAAAACCAGAAATGGACTGTGGGATGAATTGTTAGTTTAAAAAATTAGACTAAATCTGAAGAACATGAAAACAATTATCGTTCCAAAATATAATTTAAATCACATTTTGATGAATTTTAAAACCATCTGAAAAGAAGATTTGCATTATTGAACTTTTTCAGTCAATCATAAGACTGTGGATTGAAGCCAAATATATTTCCAGGGAAGAATGCAAAACACCTCCTGTATTCAAAAGAAAGGCTTCAATGTATGACAGATTAAACTCTTGAAACTGTTAATGATAGATGAGAAACAAAAGTAATATGTGGCAGGAATTGCAGCAGAAACCTTAATGCAACTTTTCAGTGACTTTCGTGTACTAATAAATAGAATAATACTAATAAACATTGCAAAGTAACAGAAGAGAACAACAAAAAGGGGAAAAATCTCTTCCCTAGGATCTAATAAGTAAAAGGGAAATTTAAACCAAGAATTGGGATGTTGAAAGATCAGTGGGAACACTGTATATTATTGGGTTCAGATAAACTAAACAAAAGATGGAAATAATACACTGCCGAACTATACAGAATATATCTATACAGATAAATTCCTTCACAGAAGATACCTTTGATTAAAAACAGTTTCAGAAACTGAAGTGAAAGCCACTCTAAAAGCAATTGGAAGAAATAAATCACCAGCAGTATATGGATTAGAATATTCTATGCTAATCTGAATCTTTGAAAACCTTAATAAGATTATACCAACAAATATGCAAAATAAAACAATGTTTCACAGACTGGAAACTTTAAAGATATGTTCTGATCCCAAAGAAAGGTGATGTCAAAGATTGTGGCAGCCATAGGACCACTGTATAAACCAGGCTTGTCCAACCTGTGGCCCGAGGGCTGCATACGGCCCAGGTCGGCTCATAATGTGGCCCAGTGCAATTTTTTATTTTGGAGCGGGGCTGTGGAGGATGGCTAGGGCTGCCCCCCTATGCGGCCCAAACCAAATTTATGGGCGGCCCAAACCAAATTTTCATCTTCTAATGTGGCCCAGGGAAAGTGAATGGTTGGACACCCCTGGCATAAACGTTCAAAGTTTTGCAACAAAGAGTTTTGCTATATATGGAGTAAGAAATGCTAGGTGTTCCAGCTAGATTCAAAAAAGCGAGAGGTCTTGGAGAGTATATTGCAAATATACATTGATCACTGGAGTATACTAAAGAATTTAAGAAGAAAATCAGTCTATTAAAATTTGAATTACAATAAAGCTGTGCAATATTATAAAAAGCTATGGGTCATGGGATTGCCAAAATATTAGATTGTCCCGATGCTATTTGACAAAGGTGTCAGGCAGGTATCTTTTGAACTATGTAGCACCCCAGTATGCTAAGTATGGACCAATTACAGTACTAACACAGTTGGTCATATGATCCTCTTGAGATGAGAAAACATCTCTAGGAAAACTAATTTGTTTGTTCACTTGTTCTTCAAGAATCGATCAACAGCTCTTTTGTTCCCGCCACTAGATGATTAGCCTTTCTCACACTCTCAGGCATTTTTTTAGTTAGTTCGTGTTCTTTGTCCTCCATTTTGGAGACAAACATTTGGTTGAGGTCTCTCCTCAGCCATGAGTTTGAGATAGACAGAAGCTATTTTCCATCATTTAAACAGATTAAATGATTCTTCTTTTTACAACTAACAATCCCACATCTACCTGTTACCTTTTTGAGCACATAATTTTGTAAGTAAATATTTTTTACAATTGTCCAATTGATTATTTTTTGCTGGTCTAACTAGAGAAGGGGAATTCTTGGGGAGCTTGCTTATAATTCTAAGCCTATGTATTTAAGAAACTGCCCCACAACACAAAGCAATAGTGCACCCTTCACCCCAATGACCATCCATTAATACTGTGTGTCTCTGTATAAAACAACAACATTCCATTCATCTTTTAAACGACCCTTCCTCCCTTCCAGAAATCCATATATTCTTGTCCTGGCTTTTTCCCTTTCCATTTACTGAATGTCATCCATATCTCATTAAATTTATTGATCTTTATGCCTCCTATTTTAAAATTTAATTTCAAATGTCGGTTCATTGTTAATCACAATATTCCAGAATTCATTGTACCATTCATGTGGTTGAAAATTCCAATTGTTCTTCCAGCTTTTTGCTATAAGTAATCAAGCAGCTTTTATCATGTTTATAATCGTTTTTTGAGTTATTTATGTCATGGTTATCTATTAACAGTAATAATACTATTTTGATGATGCTTCAACGTTCACTTCCAATATTTCTCTAATTACCTCTCTGTTTAATCTATATGCAGAACCTATCACACAGAAAGTTGGATTACATTCAAATGAAGGAGAAGTGAAAATTGTTGAAAGGAATATCAGCAATTTAAGTTATACAGATGATACCATAGCATAGGCAGAAAATATAGGCAGTTATTTGAAACACCTCCTGATGAAGGTGATAGAAGAAAGTGCAAAAGCAAAATTATGGACGAACATTCAAAAGCAAAAAAAAAAAATAAAGACTACAAGAGAATTATATAATTTGACAATGAAGAAAAAAATGAAAGTGTAAAAAGTTTCTCTGTACCTTTGTTCAGTCTTTGATCCAAGTAGAAACTGTGGTCAGAAGTCAACTGAGACAAGAAAGAGCAGTTTGAACGATCCTCAGAAATTTAAGAATGTTTTGCTGGAGATCAAAGACAAGATCATGCATGCTATGATATTCCCAATTATTATGTACAGATGTGAAAGTTGATCATGAAGATACATGAATGGATTGTAGATCAAATGAATCCCAAACTCTTCGGAGAAGAAAGAAGGAAAGAAAAAAAAAGACTATACTGAGGCTATTGCACTTTGGGCACATTATGAGATGACAAGAAGTAATGAAAAATACAACAATGCCAGAAAGAGCTGAAAGCGGTAGATGACAAAAAGTGAACATGAAATGGACTTTGAATGATAGAAGCTATTGCCTTTAGTTTGCAAGAACTGAGCAGGGCAGTTACTGACAGGATCTTTTGGAAGTCACTAATGAGCAGTATATAAACAAATGAACTGAATAAATAATATGGTTTGCCATAAGTTGGAAATTAGTTGATGATGCACAGACGCAAAAACCATGTTCAAAAACACTGACCAAATTACAGTTGCCCATCCCAAATAATGTGGAAGGCTTTCAAGGACACACATAAACAGCACTGAGGTGGTGGCTGAGCAGTTCCCTGTATCCCTTCTTATCTAGGACTATAAATATGGGAATGAAACAGAAGAAGGAAAAGCACCTTCTGGGTAGGAAAAAACCTGCTCCCTAAGCAGACCACAGGAGCAAAATTTCTTCATTTCTTTATTTAAGGATGACTGTTCTTCTAGTGAAAATAGAGCAAATAAAACCACAATTGAAATGGCCCTCCTCTTCCAGAAGGACACGGCGTTTTTCCTCTGGCCCTGCCTTCAACAGAACATGGAGTTAACCCTATGCTTTAGTGGAGGTATTGGGATCCTCTAGCAAGCCCCAGAAGTCCCCTCCAATCCTCGAAGAAGAGAGTGAAGCAAGAAGGCAAAAGAGTTGCAGATTCAGTGCTGTGGTTCAAACAATTTGCAGCTCTCTTACCTTTTATGTGTGACAGGATACAGTCAGCTAGCTTTGCAAGGCACTGTGATAAGTGAATTTTGCTGCTCTTCTGTCTGCTTTGTACCCAATTTAACAAATAAATAAATAATTTTTTAAAATATCTATTTTCTCAGCTGATTGCAAATCATAATTTGTCAATTTAGCAATGGCAAACTACAGTTAATTAAGCTTTCCTTAACTATGGTTTGGTATGATACCTACATTGAGCCAATACTGGTCTTAGTACCTGTTCAAGAAGGAATTGCAAATTGAAAAAGTGAGGGGACAGAGAATGGGAGTTCAGCTTATAAGATCTGGTGCAAAGAGCATGGAGCTGTCTGAATAGCATGAGTATAGCTTCTGTGCAAAAGCAATAATGTCAGAACACTGTAATACATATTTTCCTAGCACAGTCATGAAATACTGGGAATTTATATGGGAGTTTACAGTGGTTCCGAAGGCCTCTTATCTCGTGCCCTGAAGACATGTGTTGACTTCATTAGAGAGACTGATGTTGCTGCTGCTTGTTATTTAGCAAACAGGACTTTATATAAATAAAATGACAGCTAGCCCACAAGATTTTAAAAAATTCAATCACCACCAGTGGCCTGAAGTCTCTTGTTAGTATATATTTACAAACCTTCTCTGAGTACCAATGGATACAACAGACACCCCCCCCCCCATGGAGACAGAATGGGAATTGCTGACAACAGTTTTAAATTCTGCTGAGTTAAGCAACAGAAACCCTTCTTTGGGTCTCATGCAAGTTTAGTCACCTTCATGATCCATGGCACAAATCTGCTGACTTTTGTGTAAACACCAGGAGAGTCTTTTCGCCCACATCCATAACCCCAGGATGTGATCCCTACAATTACCCAGCGTCCACTTGATTGTTGACACATAAGTGGTCCCCCACTGTCACCTTGACAGCTGTCTACCCGGTTTTCTTCAGAGAGGTTGCCAGCACATAGCATACGATTACTAAACTTCTTCCCATAACGGAACCTGCATACACCCCTTGGTAGTAAGGGTACTGAACCTTGAAGTAATGTCCTTGAATATGATCTCCCTAAAACAGAAACAGATGACAACTAATATAGCTCAGCAAACAGAAAGCAACCATTTTACCAAACTAGCATACAAGTCAACAAACAACAGAATTTGTCATTTTTAGGAGTTTCCTATTTTACAGGAGAAGAATGTTAATGTGATTAACTTATTCTTTTAATGAATTTGTATTGGTTATTTTCTGAAGAAGAAAAAAGAAGTAGCAGTATTTGAGGACTTTGGTACTCTGAAACACAAGTTATGTATTTTATGAATAACATTGGTTTATACCATAATTAATATTTTGTGAAATTGGCTTTAGGTTTTCACTGGGTCCAATGGGTCTAGATGGGGTTTGGGAATACAAAAGTATATCCTAAGCTAGCGTAACATATCTGGTGTTGGGTATAAAACCTTGAATTATATTGGCATCGAGTCATCATAGTCAAGACTATGATGGTCAAAGAAGCATTCTCATTCATCTGCAGGACTCTAGTACTTATGCCAATGCAAGTATGATGGACTAGAGAAGGTGGGGGGCAGGGATGTCAGAGAGAGCAGAGGCTTCACATGTGAGATCCATGGATCCAGGATACTGTATTAGTAAACAGTCTGAGCAGTCATAGAACAAAATGTGGCTTCTAGATGAAACCAAACCTGCCAGTCCTTTTTATCTACTTGGGATGACTAAACCGTTCATAGTATCCTATGGAGGAAAACTGGCATGTAGTGGTTCTTGTGCACTATTCAGGATTTAACCATCTTCAAATGACACCTAGATTTTTTTTTCTGCTTTCAATCTACTAATCATTGTAGAGGGACTTCGAAATAATCCATGAATAGTATGTGATCATCATCTGCAGAGGCTGTGCCTCATCTAGCTGGCTGCCAAATGGTCATATTATTTGTGTCCATCTAGATATATATCTCTTAAACCTGGCAAATATGAAAAAAGAAGCAGAAACCTGTATAATTTAATTGATGTGTCATTGTATAATGCCTTTCCTATGTTTCTTCTTCAATACAGTCCAGCAAACACCATTCATATTCACATACATACAGTGTGCACATCATAATATTTACAGTTTGTGAACATCTGGATCAGATGAACAGTGAATTTATTTCAATTAAGACTGCAACTAGACAGTAAAATATTATAGGATTGCTGCATGTGCAAAACAGATGAATTTGCTTTTTAAAAACTGATCATACGATGCAAAGGCCAATTCGAATCAGTCAAGCCCTTTTTGCTCCCAACATGGAGGTTTTTTTCTGCCACTGGAAGCTTCTCCTTTTTCAAGCTGGAATAAGTTGAACAGACTTTTCCCCGTGCAATGAGTTATTTCATTCTCCCAAAGGACAGGCTATTTTAAGCTGTATTAAGCTGTGATGTTTTGGACAGTAGGAACACCCCCCCATGATCTTTCTCCCTAGCTGCCCTGAAGTATTTTTTTAAAAAATAAACTGCTGAGTTAACACTAGATCACTTTACCACTAAGTTCATTTACTAGTTTAGCACTAGATCACCTCTGCATGGACAAAAAAAGGAGACAAAATCAATATGAAATAGAAACAGCTCTAATGAATTACAGCAGACTACTATGCTTCCATGGTATATGTCTGTGTATTTTTATGTTATGGAGAACTTTGGAAAAGTTCGCCAAACGCCATGCCACAATTTACATAGTTCACCAGCTTTCAAATGAACTATAAAACGAGAGACAGAGATTGGCAGATGATGGGATCAAAAGGGGTCTACGGATCAAGCTGCATCAGATTGACAAGCCACTATTCACACAATCTGCAGTATCCATACAATCTAATCTGAACAGAAGCATAAAACGGGCTGAGAAACAAGCCATAGCAAAGCCAAATTGCTCCAATTCAGATATGACGCAGGTTTGCCAGCGTCATCACAGCCTAACTATTTTCAGAGGTTTCAACCAATACATGCAAAAATCACATTTTGGGGGAATGACTGTAGAGATCTCTCTCTCTCTCTTTCTGCAATGGAAAGAACAATGCAGATTTATTGCCTCCTCACCATTGACATTATCTCTTATTTGCTTCCCCCCCTTTTTTTTTTGGCATGCATGTACCATTTTCCATTTGGCCCAGATTCAAATTTGGCATGGGTTTGGTTCCATGATCATTGCAGGTGATTCCTTTGATTTTTGTGTTAACTTTGTTAACAACTTTGACGGTAAGGAGCCAATAAATCTTCACTGTTTTCTTGACAGCAAAAGAAAAGAAAAGAAAAGAAACAAAAACGAAAAAGAAACCTTGGTGTCTTTACAACAACCCAACTCCAAAGCTGACTTTTGCAAATATGAAACCATGACGAACATATTCTAGCCCCTTACTATCTTCTATCATCTGAGAAATGATGATGGGACAGCTCACATACCGGTATCTCCCCAGCCAGATATGATGCCCTTGGGGTCTTTACAACAACCCAACTCCAAAGCTGTCTTTTGCAAATATGAAACCATGACAAACATATTTTAGCCCCTTACTATCATGTGAGAAATGACGATGGGATAGCTCACATACCGGTATCTCCCCAGCCAGATATGACGCAGGCTTGTCTGTCTATGGCATATTTCTCTTTCCTAGCAGGCAGGCAGACGGGACGGACATGGTGACTGAAGGAGAGGCACTTGCCCTTTTTACCCAGCATTCTGACTAGGGCAATGTCGTTATCATTACTGCTTGACTGGTAGTTTCTGTGAAGGACAATCTTCTCCACGGGCAGATCTCTCTCGTACTCATCTTTCACACCAGTATGGTAGTCTCCTACCCGGAGGAGGTAACGTCGCACGTCCACACCAAACCTGGCCATGACAGAGCAATCATTAGAATCTTCACCTCTCACTGGACACCTGAATTTTCTTTTCTTCCTCAATGTTAACCTGCCTTCCTCAACTTACAGGGCAAGCTTCTTTCATTATAAGCCTGTCCTTATGTTATTCTGTAAAGTGCCATCTCAGTCAAAGAACTCAGAAAAGATGGCCAATCATGACACCTTTGTGTATTTAATGTAAGTATCTTTGGAGTTTTTACAATCTTGCATACTTTAGTAAGTTTGGCTGGGAGGTGACAGTCAATCTATCCAGTACTAACCAATCATTCATTCCCTTCCTGCTTTTGAATTCAAAGAGAGCCCCGCCTCTCTGTTCTGTCTCTTTCCCCCTCTCTTGAGTCTGTTGAAATCTGTGGGAAGCAGTCAGTTATGTTTATCAATTTGCTATTCACTGTAAATATATTAAACATTTTTATTCTTTCTCCTACAAATTTCTCAAAGTGATCTACTAGGACTTTAAGTGCCAATTAATGAGAAAGGGGTGGACTACTCTGGGGAATTTGAAGCTATTCTGCTCTGTGAATCCCTGCACTTCTGCTGCACAGCTCGAAGAATTTAGCAAAAAATAAATAAATACAAAATTCTGCAACAACACATTCCACAGGTGCTTGTGGAGCAACCATGCCTTCACACTTTTCAGCACTCTTTATCTCTCATGCGGCCTGTTACCTTTTGAAGCAATGTGCTGCTGTCACTACCCAGCAATTGCTGATCAGTGTTGCTCCACAGAGCAGACGAGCCTCTCTGTGAAATCCCTTCAAACGTAGCGAGACTTGCCATGGCCAACCACCTCTGAAAAAGAAATGGGGAGCACTGCAAAAGGCAGACAGAATGGGAAGCCGGATGAAAGTCTATCATTGGAAAGCTAGTGCTGTTTTCCACTCCACCTTTTGCTAATTTGGATTCTTGAGTAAATGAGCTCTCTTAATACAGCTTACTTGGGGTACTTTCTAGAATAACATGAATGATACCAGAAAAAGTGCCTACATTTCACCCTACTGCTAGCAACACTGATATAAGCCAGTTATACTCTATGCTGCACAAATACACACAGCAAGAGCCATCAGAAGTAATTTATTATTAAATGCTAGCAAAATAAACAGTTGTGGGAAATGAACTGAATACAGTTGCCTCAGTCCTACATCATACCACTGGCAGAGATGAAAGAGCAAACCTGTGTCTTTTCAGTGTACAATAATATTTAATAAAGGCACATCCTATTTTCTTCTTCTTGACCTCACCAATCTGTCTGTTCCTGGTTTGTTTGTTTTTTGATCTGGTATTTTGTTGTATAGACATACACTTTGCCACACATTTCTGCTCGTACTGTTGGATTCAATTAACTTCCCACACATTTTTGCTCGTACTGTTGGATTCAATTAACTTCCAACATGGCTTGCTGTCTCCATTTCTGTACCTCCAAAGTTTGCACCATCTACAAAATATCACAACAGTTGAATGATGACAGGGCTATGTGGCTTGCTGTCTCCATTTCTGAGTTACCTCCAAAGTTTGCCCCATTTACAAATTATCACAACAGTTGAATGATGACAGGGCTACTTCTGCTCAGGATACAACACCATCTAACACCAAAACTAGCGCACCAGTCTGAATGGATGAAAGACACCTGATGTCACGGATACCGCTCAAGCAGCAAGGAACAGATCTGACACCATGTCCAAGGTGTAAACATGACCATGTAGGGCAGCCATTCTCAACAGAGGCCATTTGGGGGGCCCAGGCACATTTGAAGGGGGGCACAAACTGGAAACAATTCTTCACACACCATCTTATAGGATTCATTATGAAATGTATACAATCATGATTCAGCCTATAATTCTTTCATATTGTGCTTTTGGACAAAATAAAAGCCAAGAATGGCTAATTAAGGGCATGTGTCTTTTGCTGCCTGTCCGGCTGTAGAGTACATGCACACAAGGGACAGTGGTGGAGTGGTGGCAGCAGTGGCTCAAGGTGTTACTCAGATTGCCACCTCTAGTACCAGGGACAAACCACTTGTCCTACTGATAACTTGTTCCTGCTGTTCATGGCTGGTGATGTGATAGTAAATTTGAAAGTGCAAGTGGTTATACTGACAGTCCCCATAGCCCTTCCCCCCATAAGTACAGTTCAAAATTGCAGGCAGATGGACATATTTATATCCACAAAAGAGGAGCAGGTCTTCGGTCAAGCTAATGCTTCTTAAATGTCCATTCACGACTTGATGGCCTCACATAGGGGCGGCTTGTCACAATACAGCATTCCTGGCAAAATTCATTTTCCTCCCATTTACTATGAGAATTATAGGTAAGCTCAGAAGGAACAGGCAAACCTGGGAAGCTGATGGATGACATCACAGTCCTTTGCTACTCAGAAAGTGGAGCTCTTGCTCCACTACTGACAAGACAAGTCAACAGAGCAGAAAGAGACAAGGTTTAGAAGACTGAATGATCTTCAAATCTTTCTAAGGCATGAGGCTTCACAATAGACGTGAAGTGTTCAGGGCTGCCCGAAATTAGTGTGCACCAAACCCAGATATAGGGGCTCTACCTATTGGAGGAACAAGAAGTGAGATACCTGAGAGATTTGTTTCCACCAATTATCCTTTTTTTGCGATGCTGTAAGAGACGCAGTCCACATGTGCCAAACGTTGTACCTGGCAACAAATCCAAAATGGTTGAGCAGAGACCCTCACATTACAGTTTCTTTAGAGCTTTCTTTCTGGGCAGAACCCACATTATTATATTCCTTGAGTCCTTCCATGGATCTGTGGCTCTTAATCATTTCGAAAATATGTATAAGGAGAAAACAAAACAAACAGCCAAAAAGTTGTATTACTTTACTATCGTTAATGTTGAGTTTGGAAATGTTAATAAAGATTTTAATAGATTAAACACCAAAAAATGCTTAGAAATAACAGTTGATGTTAGACAAAATGAAAAACAAAATATGAAAAAAAAGAGGTCAAGATCTGGTGAAGCAGTGAGGTGTTTCCAGAAGATGTTTCTATTGTGCCACCCCACTGTTTCATTCATAGAATTGCACAGGATGCGTAGATTGTAGTTTTACCTCCCTTATAGACAGCTTGGAACCTTAGCTTTAACATTAATTTGCTTTGCTAATTATTAATAAATCCAACAAAATTGTGTGGTATTTTTAACATTAGTAATGGAATTCTTTTATTCATTTTGTTATAGTGAGTGATGGACCTACATTTGGATCCCTGAAGCTTGAAATGTTATGGGGGGCCCTTCACAACCAGCAGCAAGGTCTGGTTGAACCACTCATCTTCTTCAATGGGGTTGTTCCATAACAGATCACCACAATTTTTTTTTAACGTGGAGTAAAGTCGCTTTTGGGGCCCCTCTGGGATTAGGGGTCCTGAAGCTTAAGCTTAATTGTTTCTCAGTCAACCGGACCCTGTTAATAGTTAATGTTAATTGTTGCTTTTTGAAAAAATCATAGATGGTTTACACACTGGGGCTGAAACTTTCTAGGGTTGGAAATATGAGCTCCCTTCACTGCCAAACCTTCCCAGGCTTTAAACAGCAACTTATCACTGATTGGAGATAAGGTAGAAGAAGAAGAATGAAATAACAAGCAAGGACTTTCTATATGTTATTCCAAAATGTATAAATATAAGCTTTAAAAGGTTAAAAGTATGTCTAATTTCTTTTATTTTATCTTGTTTTTAAAAAATCCAAACAAAATTAACTTACTGTGTTATTTTTAACGTCATTTCTAAATTCTGCCCATGTTTTCCCTTTCTTTGTCCTTTTTTTTCCTTCCACAAAAATAGGTTAAACAGGAAGGGTAGAATTGTCATACGGTGTCCACTACTGGTAGCAGTAGAGCCCTCCATCTGGAAGCACCCCCAAGGGACCAGAAATATAATAATTCAGAATTCCGCAACCATAAAAACCAAACTTTGGAAGGTTGTTATGAATTTGATCTAAAATTCAAATACACTCATAGACAGGCAACCATTCGATGTTAGAAAAACTGTGGGCACATATGCTGGTCAGAAGTTACAGACGAACGCAGCTCACCTGTGTTTCTTATCAAGAGGGTTTCCTTCTCACAGATCACTCCAGCATCTCTGCTGTGCCAGCAGTTGTGAATGCCATTTTCCTGGAGGAGGCATTCCTCAAGGGTACGCTCAGTGCCCTTGCACTCCACACTGTTTAGATGGATAAGTGCATGTCCTTTGCCTCGATGAGCCACTGTTTGGGCTTTGGCAGCATCACTGCAAAGAGGGGATTGGTGAAGCTAAACAGGAAGTCACAGAAGTCAAGCCTATGTACTTTGGCAGGCCTCTCTATACATATAACTGTAGATCAACACATGTAATTCAGGCCATAGCATGCCACTTGGAGAAGGCAAGGCACACTGCACCAAAACTCAGGCAAAAACTCTGACACAAATACTATAGCACTAAGGGTCAAATCTTTATACCAGAAAGATCTGGATGTCCCGGACAACCCAGATAGTGTGGTTGCAGACCTTGAGCCAGACATTCTGGAGAGTGGAGTCAAGTGGGCCTTAGAAAGCATGGCTAACAACAAGGCCAGTGGAGGTGATGGCATTCCAGTGGAACTATTTAAAATCTTAAAAGATGATGCTGTTAAGGTGCTACATTCAATATGCCAGCAGTGCTCAAAATCCTACAAGGTAGGCTTCAGCAGTATGTGGACCAAGAACTCCCAGAAGTACGAGCTGGATTTCGAAGGGGCAGAGGAACTAGAGACCAAATTGCTAACATGTGCTGGATTATGGAGAAAGCCAGGGAGTTCCAGAAAAATATCTACTTCTGCTTCACTGACTACACAAAAGCCTTTGACTGTGTGGACCACAGCAAACTATGGCAAGTTCTTAAAGAAATGGGAGTCCCTGACCACCTTATCTATCTCCTGAGAAATCCATATGTGGGACAGGAAGCAACAGTTAGAACTGGATATGGAAACACTGATTGGTTCAAAATTGGGAAAGGAGTACAACAAGGCTTTATATTGTCCCCCGGCTTATTTCACTTATATGGAGAATACATCATGCGAAAGGCCGGACTGGAGGAATCCCAAGCCGGAATTAAGATTGCTGGAAGAAATATCAACAACCTCTGATATGCAGATGATACCACTCTGATGGCAGAAAGTGAGGAGGAATTAAAGAACCTCTTAATGAGGGTGAAAGAGGAGAGTGCAAAAAATGGTCTGAAGCTCAACATCAAAAAAACTAAGATCATGGCCACTGGTCCCATCACCTCCTGGGAAATAGAAGGGGAAGATATGGAGGCAGTGACAGATTTGACTTTCTTGGGCTCCATGATCACTGCAGATGGTGACAGCAGCCACAAAATTAAAAGATGCCTGCTTCTTGGGAGGAAAGCGATGACAAACATTGACAGCATCTTAAAAAGCCGAGACATCACCTTGCTAACAAAGGTCCACATAGTCAAAGCTATGGTTTTTCCTGTAGTGATGTATGGAAGTGAGAGCTGGACCATAAAGAAAGCTGACCGCCGAAGAATGGATGCTTTTGAATTGTGGTGCTGGAGGAGGCTCGTGAGAGTCCGCTGGACTGCAAGGAGAACAAACCTATCCATTCTGAAGGAAATCAACCATGAGCGCTCACTGGAATGATAGATCCTGAAGCTGAGGCTCCAGTACTTTAGCCATCTCATGAAAAGAGAAGACTCCTTGGAAAAGACCCTGATGTGGGGAAAGTTTGAGGGCAAGAGGAGAAGGGGAGGACAAAGGATGAGATGGATGGACAGTGTCATCGAAACTACCAATGTGGATTTGACTCAACTCCAGGAGGCAGTGGAAGACAGAAGGGCCTGGCATGCTCTGGTCCATGGGGTCACAAACAGTCGGACACGACTTAACGACTAAACAGCAACAACAAGGGTCAAATGAGACAATAAGCTTAGTGCACAATTAGAAGTGCTGCTTGCTGAAATTGAGGTATCTGTTTGTCATGGCACATGACTCTATGTCTTGCAGTATGTGTTGTTTTGTGATTGGTTACTGATAAATAAACATGGTCTTAATTGTTTTTGTGTTAAATTGGCTTAAAGTAGGATCTGCACTATATTTTACTACATTTTGTGTGTTTTAACTGGATTTTGACTGTTTTAATGACTAGCTTTTACTACTAATATGTTTAATTATATTTTAATATTCTATTTTATAGTGATTTTAATTATGCATTTTACTTATTTGTCAGCTGCCTTGGGTTGATTTTAGGGAAAAAGGCAGGACAGAAATAAACTAAGAAACTTAAAATCCATTAAATATACGTACTCAAAATCCAATAAATATAGTTCTTATAAAAATCTAGACTCTCTCAGACATTATCATTACTTTGAACAGCTGATTTATTCTCATTCCATTGTATATTATTGAAGATAAAATTAAAACTATTCCAGAATAAATTAAAGTGATTGAGGTATTTACTCAGTAGCTCTCAGATCAACATGAGGATCCATGACCTTTCAATTTACTTAATGTCCTTGTCATGGCATCATGGTCAGCAACCCACAGTCACAACAGGTGCATGTGATCCATGGAGGGCTCCTAAGAACAGATCTACATCACGTAGAGATAGCCGTTTGATTCAATTTCAACTGCTATGGCTATAGCCCAGTGGTTCCCAACCTTTTCCTAGTTGCACCCCCCTTTTATAACAGCTAAGTAACCTGTGAAACACCCACCACCACCATGGTTGCATAAAAAGGCATTTTAATGGGGTAGAGGCTTCTTTCTCCCCTAAATGGCCTGATTCTCATACATACATATATATGCTAATTTTAATATCTGGCTCCCAAAGGTCAAGGAAGAAATTATTTATTAAGGGCTACAACACATGTCAGGTGACCTGCAACCTCCCAGAAAACAGTTTGTGATCCCCTTTGGGGGGGGTCACAACCTCTAAGTTGGGAAACACTGGTATAGTCTATAGAATCCTTGGCTCTGTAGTTGGGTGAGATGCTTTGAATTATCTGCTGTTGTCCTGGGCATGATCCTAAGGCTCTCAAGTGGGCAAAGAATTCCAAGTCCTCCCTTCCAATTACAAACCCCAGTTCCATAGGATGAGGCCATGGCAGTTCAAGTGGAATCAAATTGTGATGTAGATACACCCTCTGGCTGAAAAAAACCACTGGAAGGGGATGGAGATGCTGCCATTAAGGGAAAGCTGAATAATTTTGAGAAAATGACATTAAGTCTGAGAGAGTTGGTGGTTTGGGAACAAAAACACTTCCCGATCTGGTGAAAAAGAATTCACTTTTCAAAAACAGACTGGAAATTGTTTTTCTGCTTAAAAATACATGGTGGAACATTTCCTATTTCAGTTGAGGGCAAGTCATTGAGATGTTTGCCACTGAATTTTGGTAGCCAACTACACTGCTAGTTTTCACAGTTATCACCTTACAGCTATAGTGAGTTATTTTCTTACTCAAAAAGCATTCCTCAGAACAGTCAGTTATTGACTATGAACTTGCCTTTGAATATGCCACCCCCCAATTCTAAACATCAGCTTGCAATCCAAGTACCTGTAACCCAACTGTCTGCAAACAACGGCTGCTTCTCTAGCTGTCCAGTCATCATCACAGATGCTGCCCCACTGCCCATGTAAGAAAACCTCTACACGGCCTTCTCTGGGGCTCTCCCCATCCACCAGCCGCACAGGGAGCCCTGCAGAAGATGGGCAGAAAAGGAAAACAAGGACAACTTAACCCAGCAGTTTGTAGGGACAGTAGTACAATATAGTAGAAATGAGGATTGGTTTAATAGAGTAGGGGTAGTATACCTGGCTGAATAGGTCAGTGATTTAAGTATCTGGCTGAAGAGCCAGAGGTTGGGAGTTCAGTTCTCTGCTGCGCATCCCAGAAGACCCAGCCTGTGTGGCCGTGGACAAGCTGCACAGTCCCAGGGCACCCCCAGAAGAAGGGAATGATAAACCACTTGGGAGTATTCTCTGCCTAGAAAACCCTGGGAAGGGTTGCCATAAGTCAGAATTAGCTTGATATCACCCAATGTTATTATTATAGGGTAATATCATGGAGAAGAATACATCTATCTGCTAGTTGTTCTGAAGTATGAGCCTACCTGGCAGTTAAGATCTAGCCAGGGGGCCCTTTTGAAAGAGCCATCCCTCAAGGAGGTAAGAGGGACGGCTTGTAGACAAAGGGCCTTTTCAGCAGCTGCCCCCAGACTATGGAATGCCCTCCCAACTGAAATTCGTCTGGCGCCAACGCTGATGACATTTCGGCGCCAGGTCAAAACCTTCCTGTTCCAGAAGGCTTTTAATTGAAATAACATCAACTGTGGGTCGTGATGGCAATTTTAATTGTATTTTAATCATTTTATCTTTTATTGTATTTTAGTTGAATTGTAATTGTTGTAAGCCGCCCAGAGACCTTTGGGTGGAGTGGGCGGCATATAAGTTAAATAAAATAAAATAAAATAAAATAAAACAAACAAACAAACAAACAAACAAACAAACAAACAAACAAACAAATAAAGTACTAGCCTCTTTACTCATTTGTCTGAAGAGATTAACAATCAAATGAAAAGTATGTTTAGATCATGTATTGTAGCAGTGCTTCCTTAAGCAGTGAAAGACGTCTGTTGTCCTAGTAATGAGCTTTGCTCACCTCCATACCTTATGCTTTGTTTTGTGATCGTTCACTGTAATTTGTGATTACTGAAGCACTTGTCTCTGAAGAAATTGTATCATGAAGAAATGGGCCAATCACATAAATAAGCAATCCCCTTAATGTCTAAGTTTGACTGTTAAGGTGAAAAGCAAATCTGAAGTGAGAAAATGTAGTATGAACACTTACAGACACATCTTCTCTGTTTTCCTTAAGGGCTAAACTAAGTATGATCTTTTTACTTATTCCATTGGCATATAAAATTGGTTGTACTTGATTTTTACATCAAACAGTATGATGGGTGGAACCTTGCAACTCACCAGCTTCCCTCCCCATGGTCTGTCACTCTGGACACTTTCCTCCCAAGCCAGATGGGAATTAGAGCCAGCCTGGAAGAAAAGTGCCAGAAGCAATGAAAGAGAGAAAGAGTGTGAGATTAGTGCTGCTCATCTGCTGAACAAGGCAGGCACAACAACAAGAACAAACGAACATGATTGCCCTTGTCATGACTACTCTGGCCTGAAATAATTGACTCAAGCAGGCAGCCAACCACACAGTCTGTCTAGTAGCTGCATTATGTTAAATGCAAGTACTAAAGGCAGGACTGTCCCACAGTGAAGGGTGGGCAGCACAACATGCCTCAACACCAAAATCTCACCTCCTGGCCGGTACCCTGTCGCCTCTTCAGTGACCTTGTTGCTATCCGGGGAACAATGGACTCCCACATCCTCTTCATGCGAGCAGTCATGCTGACCCCAGTTGCTATGGGGACAGTCGAAGAGAGACAACTCAGTGCCTGTGCACACCACATCATCCAGTAAGATGAAGCCTTGGCCAGAAGCAAATTCTCCCTTAGATGCCAGCCTGGCAGGGCCACTAAAGGAAGCAAGTAAAAACATTAAGGGACCCTGTTCTCAGAGCCTCTTCCAGAAAGCACCAGCCTTAACCAGCAAGCACCCAGTACAGTATTACTGTGAAGTGAACTCACAAAGCCAAAGCTGGACAGCTCCTTCAGGTGTAAAGTACCTGAATTATGTTGGCTTGTTGTCTGTCATCCTATGTCCAAGACTGGTGATTTTATGGAGGGGGTAGGGTTCTGTTTGTTTTGTTTTAATGTGTTTCATATGGTTTTAATATTTTAGCTGTATGTTTTATAATATTTTGTAAGCTGTCCAGAGTAGCGGCATGCTCACTAAATGGATGGGATATAAATCTGAATGAATGAATGAATGAATGAAAAAATAAATAAAGTAGATTAATTGCCATGAGTACATCCCCAAGGAGCATGACATGGAAACAGTGAACTACTATAGATACATTTCCTTAAGCAGTCTTGTAAGTATATTTGCACATACCTTGACAGAAGGTCAAGTCTCTATAGAAAAGAAGGGTATGTGAACACAGAGGCCGGAATCCTGTTGCTTAGTACAGTAACTTGCAACTAGAGTAGGCCCATTGAATCAATCAGGATTTGGTAAGTGAACCCTTCTGTGAGTTCCATTGATTCAATAGGCCTATTCTAGTTGCAATTTATTGCACAAAACAGCAGGATGTCAGCCAGAGTTTTAGAATCTGACATTCCAGTTATAGAACTTGCTAATGGTCTCTCGGTGAATGTCTTTGATTCCATCCTCAGGTAGAATATAAATTGTACTCTTGATGGCGTTTTAATATTTGTTCAAAACAGAAAATTTGTGCCAGTTCCACAAGCGTCTAAATGCTTGGTTTTAAATGGCACTCCATGACTCTCTGTTAAGCTGCTAATGTCAGTTTTTAATTATACACAAATTGATTTAGACATCACACTAATTATAGTTAAGTAAATCCAGCTGTGGTTTGGTGTGATGTCTGATTTGACAAGCCACAGTTTGTGACCAACTACCAAGCCAGAATCAGAAATGAGGATGTGAAATTAGATTCTAGAGATAATTCATTATCTCTGATTTGATATGATTTACCCACAGTTGAATAATCTAATATTCTTCTTGGGAAAAAAAACAACCCAAAATAGCTATTCTCTTTTCACTTACCTGAAGCCTAGCTGTCTGCATGCCACCTGGGCAGTGGCACCTGTCCAACCATCATCACACACACAACCCCAGCCTCCATTGTGATACACCTCCACCCTTCCTTCATTTGGATTGTAGCCTCCTGCTAGTCGGATGGTACCTTCTGGTAGAGATAAGAGGTATGATAAATAAGGAAGATTCCTTTCCTACCATTCTGTCCTCTTTGAAGACTGCAACCCCATATCCACAGTCTCCCAGAACTGTTCTTGGCAGGAACAATGTTTAGACTTTGTAGCTGTTGCCCAGCGTTGACAAGAACGACAGTAATCTCTGTTACATTCAGCTATGACATCACCTGCCCGTCCCTGCTGAAGCTGTGTGTCATCTGCCAATGGCATGACGGAGGGTGGGACATAAGGGGTGGAGCTGTTGTATATAAAGGGAGCGAATGGTGTGAGAGATTCAGATAGGGCCAGATAGGGCTTTGAGATAGGGACGGTTAGGGCTTGGAGAAACTGTGAGATAAGAACTGTGCTATATAGTGAGGGTCTGTGAGAGTGTGTCTATGATTGTTATATTATTATAGTGATTAAAGTATTATTTATATTCAAGTGATTTACCATTCCTTTTGTTTGTATACAATAAACCTAAGTTTTTATTTTGAAATCATACTTTGGCCTGAAGCTTCATTTGAGGGAATGGTTGGTGGCAGTGGAAACGAAGAGTGATTGAGTGTGCCGTAACAGCCCCTTAGTGAGGTATAAGGTGGCTGTTACAATCTCCAGTACCCTGGTGGTCTGAAACACTATGGAATATTTCAAATGAGGAATAGTCTAATATTAGAACACAATGGTTACAACCCAAACCAGGCTATAGACTTTAAAATCTCAAATGGATTTGAGCCACTTTCCTGTAAGGAGCAATCAAGTACCACTGCTTAATGTACACGTGGTGGTATCATCTCTGCATCTGAAGCTGCCATGGGCATTGCCAACATTTTATTCCCTCTTTCCAGTCCCACCTGTTCCTGTATGGTGTGCTATTCCTATCTAACAGTCCACCTCAGGTTTCTATCTGTCTGCTAAGATGTGGATGTAATAATCATATTACTCAGCATGCATGCACACCAACACCCACACCCTTGCAGCAAGAACAGGAGGTCTCAGATGATAGATGCAGAAATGTTTGAAGCACACAGAATTCTGCCACTGTAGATGTGCTTTGTGTTGCTATTGTTATGGGGCACCTGTTCAGACGCTTGGGCTGGTATAGCACTCCATGAGGCAGACCTCCATGAATTTAAATATAATGACATATAAAAACTCCAGTCTTGTTCTATGCTCCCATCTTCCCAAATCACCAAGAAACAATCAATTGGTTCACCAGTGGGAGAATAAGGAAAGTAAAGGAAGAGGAGGGTAAATCTTGGATGTTGTTGGAGTCTGCTTGACTGAGAAAGCATGAAAAACTTTAGGGGGAAAGTTGGCATGTGTTTTCAGTGTGGGTTTCTGGTCACGAAACATAGCAAAATGAACCACTGAGAAAAAAGTAGGAAGATAGCCGAGTGTTTGGAAGCAAACACTCATTAAACTTCATACGGTAGTTTGCGGAAACAACTGTGTCTGGAAGACCTCTATTTCACCTGTTTGAATAGCTTACTGTGTTTATTTGGAGGCCAGGCAGGTTTTAAAGCATGCTAGAGGAATACCTCACTGCAGAATTCTGGAAGAGATCCCTGCCAGCAAACATCTCGGTCATCAGCTCTCTAGGCCTGAAGGCTAATAAAAAGCTGAATAATAAATAGGTGGAGGAAATAACAGTCAAGCAGCATCTAACCAATTTTTGCACCTGAAGTAGCAATTCAGAATTTTCGATTCGCAAATTAGAGTCTTTAATGGGGGTGTTAAAAGCAAGACAATGGTATGTATGTGTGCGGATGTATTCACACTTGCACCTCCAATTTATTATCTACTGCCTAGAATGATGACCTTGTTTCACCTCATGGTAAAGAGGAACTGACTATACACTACTTTGCAAAGTACTGAGGATCTCACCTTCCATATGTTTTTGCTTATAACCACCAGAGTTTCCTGTCAGTGTATCTCTAGCTTTTCTTCATGTTTTAAGCCAGGTGAGGATGCAAGAGGCCTGTTCTGTACATGTCACTCCCCCTGCTATCCTGCTTAACTTCCTCTTCCCTTTTAATTCGCCTATCATTCTATCACAGTGCTTTGCACACAAATGGAAACCTAACATTTGTAAGTGATAAGAGGTTTGACTAGCAGCAACCATATAAAATACTGCGAGTCAATATTTTATTCACTTATCATTTTGTATTGCTCGTTTTTACACTTCTGATTGAAGATTGTGGATTTATATGCCATTTTTCTACAATTCCGCTCCACCAATACATTCAGGTAAAAGGTAAAAGTAAAGGTTCCCCTTGACAATTTTTGTCGTGTTCGACTCTAGCGGCGGTGCTCATCCCCGTTTCCAAGCCATAGAGCCAGCGTTTTGTCCAAAAACAAACTTACGTTGTCACATGGCCAGTGCGACTTAGATACGGAACGCTGTTACCTTTCCACCGAGGTGGTCCCTATTAATCTACTCGCATTTGCATGCTTTCGAACCGCAAGGTTGGCGGGAGCTGGGACAAGTGATGGGCACTCACTCCGTCACGTGGATTCGCTCTTACGACTGCTTGATCTTCTGACCCTGCAGCACAGGCTTCTGCGGTTTAGCCCACAACGCCACCATATCCCCTAATACATTCAGGAGTAAAGAATAAATCTTCCTGCCTGTATTTCACCAGAAAACATAACAATCACGCTGGTTTCATACATGTAGGGAATGTGAACCCTACTGGCAGTCTGACAAGGTACAGTGCCAACAGAAATTTCCTGCCTTAATCAGAACTAGACCAACAAGAAGGGGACCACTAGGGGCTGTTTGTAAAGGGGATAAATATTTATTGGAGAAGTGCTAGAGGGAGGACATACCTGCCAAGGGATCGCAGGTTACCCCTGCATCTTCAATGTGGTCACAGTTGTGCTCTCCCCAGCTACTCCTCTTGCACTGGTCCAGGGAAAACTCATTGCCTGAACACCCCACTTCATCCAGGAGGATTGGGCCCGAGCCTTGCCCAAAGTAAGCCCAAGACACAGCCTTTGGAGTTCCACTTATGAGAAAACAAACACAGGTACGGTGACGACTGATGCAGTCTGTTCATAATCTTGTTTACTCAAGAAAGAGAATGCTAGTTTCAATGTGATCTACGGTGGCAGTTTTACATTCATAAATGTTCTCATGAAAAGAGATAAATATGCAAATGACCAATTACCTGAGGCCCAGCTGTCTGCAAACCACCTCAGCATCCTTGTCATCCCACTGGTCATCACAGATGGTGCCCCAATAGCCATCATGGTAGACTTCCACTCGGCCCTCAAATCTCTTTTCCCCCCCTACTAAACGAAGTGGAGACCCCACACCTGCTCTTCGGAAAGAAAGAAAGAAAGAAAGAAAGAAAGAAAGAAAGAAAGAAAGAAAGAAATCAGACATAATCCTCACAGTTCAGAAGCTGTACTTTCAACTTTTCTAAGAAAAGGGACATGAGAGTGGATGTTCTTACGATGGAGCATCCTTCTTCATCATCAGAGCAAAGCAGGAATTAATGCTTCCAAATGGACTGGATCAATCTCCTTACCAGAACTCCAATGCATTTAAAAACATTTCAACAAATCACATACTAAATTTTTTCATGCTTTTCATTTACCCCCCATCTCAAAAGACAAGCTAAAAGTGGGGACAAACAGCAGCGGGGCAGGGGGATGAAAATTGACAAGGTCTCCAAATATATGTACTGTATTCATAAAGGCTTTCACGGATGGGATCCAATGGTTGTTGTAGGTTTTTCAAGCTGTTAAGTCAAACAGCCCAAAAACCCTACAACAACCATCTCCAAATATAGTCTGGAAACTCATTTTGGATTGGGGTCCTCATGCATGTCCGGAGGAAATGCACTAACAATGAGTTAGAGGGTTAACCTGTATGTTCTGGGGCAGGGGGATGAAAACTGACAAGGTCTCCAAATACAGTATATGTATTCATAAAGGCTTTCATGGCTGGGATCCAATGGCTGTTGTAGGTTTTTCAAGCTGTTAAGTCAAACAGCCCAAAAACCCTACAACAACCATCTCCAAATATAGTCTGGAAACTCATTTTGGATTGGGGTCCTCATGCATGTCCGGAGGAAATGCACTAACAATGAGTTAGAGGGTTAACCTGTATGTTCCAGAGAGCATGTAATTAGAAAATGGTGGTGTTGTTTTTTTCAAGTGCAGGAAGTGTTTTGATTGTCAGAACAGGAGCTTTGCGTACCTCCTGTAATTTGTAAAACAGTTTGCTTTGTTTTGTGATTGATCATTAGGAGGTAAATACAAGCTTCATTTTCAAGTCTGATTTCTCAGATCCAAAGGTCTGCTACAATCATTTATCTAGAATACTAATCCAGAGACCTTTGGGTAGTGTGGGCGGTATATAAGTTAAATAAAATAAAATAAAATCAATCAAACAAACAAACAAATAATGTGATTAGGCGTTAGGCTCCTCAGCCGCCCTTCCTGGCTAGAATGAGTGATTCGGGTGGTAGATTTTGGTGCTAGATATCGAGGTCCTAAACCATTAGGGCTTTATATGTCATCATTAACACTTTGAAATCAATGCGGAAACAAACGGGCAGCCAATGTAGGGCAGCCAAAGTGGGGGAAATATGCTGACATTTTCTCACCCCAGTGAGAAGTCTGGCCACCGCATTCTGCACCATTTGAAGTTTCCACATCAGTCTCAAATGTAGCCCCACGTAGAATGCATTACAGTAGTCTAATCTCGAGTGCATGGATCAGAGTGGTGAGCGCCCCAACATCAAGATAGGGACGCAGCTGGGCAATCCACCACAGATGGAAATAGGCAGAGCGGACCACTGATGCTACCTGGGTTTCCATGCTGAGTGCCGGATCCAGATGGACCTCCAAGCGTAAACCTCACTCTTTGTGGTGAGAGTTACTTCCCCAAAAGAGAGGGAGTTTCCCAAACCACCAATGGAGGGGCCACCCACCCT